CAATGTACACGTGGAAAAGTAGTGAGTTACCTTCACAAAGGCATCTCTTCCATCTGCAGCCTGGGCAACGCTCAGGGGCTTGGACACGCTCTCTCCTCGGATGATGATCGAGTGGTTTGTAAGGCTGTTCTGCAGTTCCTTGGAGTCCACCTGCCGGAATAATCATTGCATTGGGTCATTCTGAGTAGAGAAAGCAAACCTGGTGTACACGTGGAAAAGTAGTGAGTTACCTTCACAAAGGCATCTCTTCCATCTGCAGCCTGGGCAACGCTCAGGGGCTTGGACACGCTCTCTCCTCGGATGATGATCGAGTGGTTTGTAAGGCTGTTCTGCAGTTCCTTGGAGTCCACCTGCCGGAATAATCATTGCATTGGGTCATTCTGAGTAGAGAAAGCAAACCTGGCAATGACTAAAGGAGCCTGCTGCAGGAAAAGGGGCGTAAGAGAAGTGGAGAAAGCAGAGAGAGGCCGTCCAATTGGGACCTACTGTCACAGAAGAAGCAGCTATTACTGGGGCCTAGAGATGGAAAGATCTCTCAATCTGGGGGGGCTGTTGCATCACTGTGAGCATTTGCAGTGAGGAGGGGACAGCACAAAAGGAAAACAACACTAACAGGCCCTCCACCGGAGCACAAGCGCTAACAAACCACCCTCCCAGAAGAGCGAACAAACCAGAGAGCTAATGGGAGTACAAGAGAATCCCCTACCTCAAGCAGTTTGGTTGCTACAGAAAAGTGCGAAGAATCCAGCACGTCAGAGCAGTCTAAGTTCTCATACACAGCCGCTGGGAAGAGGAAAGAGCAAACCTCAGTGTGCACACGGCACAAGGAATTACCACTGTGGTGCCCGGCTGTATTGTTAGGGTTTGTATTACGGTAACACCGATGTCCAAGCCAGGATCAGCACACAGTGGTGAAACAGAGGCCAGGCCCACACCAGCAGAGCTTTAGGAGTACAGGCAGTCCAGGATACTACCCTGGCAAAGCGCTCCACGGGTTGACACAACCGTGCTGTGATTTTATGTAATAAACCCACTCACACGAATGAAACAAGCATAGCGTTGCCAGTACAGCTGCCTCTACATTAGGGCTCCTGCCAGCCGGGCGCTGCCAGCCAGAGATCCCCTCTCTTCACACTGCTGACCAGCCCAGCTCTGCCCGCAGGCTGTAGTGTAGCCCTGGCCCTCGTGAGAATGTCCCTGCCCTGAGAAACTCCCAGGCTAAGAGATTAATCAGCTTGCAGTGAACAGAGTATGTGAAAGTCACCTGCAGAATGCTTTCTGTGCAATCCTAAGGCTGCCTCCCCTCCCCTCGCACGATCCTTTTCACGATCATTCCTGCCAGGGCACTGTGTTATTTAATGCCTCAGCATGTGTGATGGGCCTCTTTATGGCCTGCCAACCTTGTCTCACATGTAGGTGTGTCTACACTTGCACCCTATTTCAAAATAGGAATGCAAGTGAAGACATTCGAAATTGCAAATGAAGCTGGGATTTAAATATCCCACGCTTCATTTGCATATTCACGTTATGGCGCTATTTCGAAATAACAGACGCTGTTAAGACACAGTTATTTCGAGAGAAAACCCTTTTCTCGAAATAACTGGTAAACCTCATTGAATGAGGAATAAGGGTTATTTCGAGAGAAGGGTTTTCTCTCGAAATAACCGCATCTTAACAACGTCTGTTATTTTGAAATAGCGCCATAACGTGAATATGCAAATGAAGCACGGGACATTTAAATCCCAGCTTCATTTGCAATTTCGATTGCCTTCATTTGCATTCCTATTTCGAAATAGGGTGCAAGTGTAGACATACCCACAGTGAGCATGATGACAGGGTCACCTCTGAGAACAGAATTCAGTCAGCTCACCCACCAGTACTTCCATTATCTGCACCGGCTGCCCTTCCAACACACCCCCACTCACTGTCTGCACTTGTAGGGCAGACAGCCATGCACTGGCCTGTAGACAAGGCGGCAGGTAGCGGCCCACAGACATTGAACTCTGAGACAAAGGGAAAACGTAGCTACGGGCAGTGCTGGGTTTACCTTCAAACTCGACGTTCCCCAGGTGCAGAATAGCAGCCAGCAGCTTGCTGATGTCCCAGTGTTCAGAATCTGAGAACATGAGGATCTTCATAGCAGAGCGGATGTGAGCATATTCCTTTGCATCATTACGACTCTCACAGGAAGTGCAATCCCCCTGAAGGACAGCACATTCATGGGAACAGGGAAATCTTCTGGATGTTAATACAGACCTAGCACACCAGCCTCTGGGCTGTGGAACAAAACATACATGACAGAGCTGCCCTGCGGGCTGCTCATTACACACCTGAAATACAAATGCTTGTATTTTTTTTTAATTTCCCCTTTCCGTGGTAGTTTCTCTCTTCGCTCACGCTCAAAGGAAGATGGCATGTTTCTTGGGATGGTGGCAGCCAATATACATATGTTAGATGTAGCAGACATGACCACATTAATAGGCATGATGTGCAGGATATTAATATAACATTAATATTATGTGAATGAGCAACGCTTCTGCTCCATCAGCTCAATCCAGGGGCTCAGGGTAGCCAGCAGGGGCGGCCCGTGGCTATAAGTGGACTCGGCCGCTGCCTAGGGTGCCGCTGCCCGGGGCGCCAAATGATAATGTCACGGGGACGCCCGGGGCACCCGCCAATGATGTCAGTCCATTGACGGCCCTGCAGGCAGGGACGCCGATCGCGTGTTCCGCCTGGGGCGCCAGCTGCGGCAGCCGGCTTTGGGCCGCTCCTGGTAGCCAGGCCTCTGCTCCCTACATGTCACAAGCCTACAGTCTCCTCAGGGAGAGCACAGCAGTCACTGATTCCTCCCTTAGTTTGCTTCAGCTGTCAGCTGCTGAAGGCAGGACTGTGCCAGCCCCCCCATACTGCCACTTTTGACTGCAGCTGGGGTTGGAGGCACAGCTAGAATCAGGACTCTTCACTCTCCTGCTCTGCAACTGGGGCTTCAACCAGGATCTTGAGTCCCCAGTCCCATAGCTTGCAGCAGGGGCTGTACTCCCCCTTGGCAGCTTCCTAGGGCTGCACACCCCCTTCCGCCATGGCTCCAGTCAGGGATGTACACCTGTGGCTGCTCCCCACCATGTGTCCTGATATGCATTGGAGAGGGTCCAGCGGAGGGCAACCAAAATGATTAGGGAGCTAGAGCATATGACCTATGAGGAGAGACTGAGGGATTTGGGGTTGTTTAGTCTGCAGAAGCGAAGAGTGAGGGGGGATTTGATAGCAGCCTTCAACTTCCTGAAGGGAGGTTCCAAAGAGGATGGAGAGAGGCTGATCTCAGTAGTGACAGATGGCAGAACAAGGAGCAATGGTCTCAAGTTGTGGTGGGAGAGGCCCAGGTTGGATATTAGAAAAACTATTTCCCTAGGAGGGTGGTGAAGCACTGGAATGGGTTACCTAGGGAAGTAGTGGAGTCTCCATCCCTAGAGGAGTTTAAGTCTCGGCTTGACAGAGCCCTGGCCGGGTTGATTGAGTTGGGATTGGTCCTGCCTAGAGCAGGGGGCTGGACTTGATGGCCTTCTGAAGTCTCTTCCAGCTCTATGGTTCTATGATTCTGTGATTTTACCCTTGTGATCTGGGTACTGTGGTCTCTGAACTCCAACAGAACATGCCCCATGGCTGAGCTGAACAATACGGGGAGAGGAGAGAGAAGTTTAGGCTGGAGGCTGCTTCCACACCAGCTACATTAAAGCCTGCTCTGAGGCAGGGAAAAAGGAGACATGACTTTCAACAGTCCATCCACTGCTCTGTCACCTTGGGGTACATCCACAGTGTGTTGAGGTCACATCACCTCTCTTTCCATGCTGCTGTAGCTCTCCTCTCCCGCATACAAGCACCCTTTGGCTCTAGTCAGTAAGAGTAAGTCGCAGCTTGAGAAATAAAGACAGGCAGGATTGGGAAAGGGGTAGAAAATGCCTTTGCAAAACCAGAACATTAGAATCTAGCACAAGTCACTGAACGGCAGGATCCAAAAACAACACGAGAAAGGTCTTTTGCAAAAGTCTGCCTGGCAGAGCTCAGTGCTCTTCCCACAGAAGCCATTTTCTACCTTCCATATAAATAACCCAAGCGGGGCTGTCAGAGTGGTCAAATATTGGAATAAATTGCCAAGGGAGGTGGTGGAATCTCCCTCTCTGGAGATATTTAAGAACAGGTTAGATAGACATCTGTCAGGGATGGTGTAGACGGAGCGTGGTCCTGCCTTGAGGGCGGGGGGCTGGACTCGATGACCTCTTGAGGTCCCTTCCAGTCCTATTATTCTATGATTCTATGAAAGCATAGAGGGTGCTGTCCCCGAACCCACAGTGTCTCTAACGTTAATGCTCCTTTCACTCTACGCATGGCCATTTCTACGTGTAACCAGCCCCCTGCAGGCAGAACTCATTGCACTGGCTTCCGCCATGACAGCCTTGCACGAGGAACCCGAATGCCCCGTGCTCAAGGCAGCGGCAGCTGAGTGAGGTGCCTCTTACCATGGTGAGGTAGGTGTACTCTGAAGCTGTGCCCAGGTTCAACATCTTCTTCTGCTCCAGATTCATCCCCATTAGCATGCAGTAAAATATGTGATAGTTCCTCTCCTCCGGAGCCTGGAATGAGAGACGCAGCACAGGACAGGCCTGTCAGTGCAGTCTTGTCGACAGGAGCAGAGCCGGCACAGCCTCCCAGAGGAGCCCTTACCTGCCGACACACCCGGGACTTCTCCAGGAGGAACTGCTCTATCCGGGCCCCTTCGATCACCCCGCTCCGGCTGAAGTGGATGTCGATGTATTTCCCAAAGCGGCTGGAGTTGTCGTTTCGAATGGTCTTGGCATTTCCAAAGGCTGGTGGGGGCAGGGAGTGCAGGACAGAGACAGACACTAGATTTACTCCTGCTTAGGGCATGACACTGTCCTGTTCAGACTACCTGGCCTTGCAGCTGGCATTTCACCTGGTGAGCTCCAGGCTCCAGTGCTGTGTGAGCTGACTCACACTGGCAATGGCAGACCTCAGACTCCATCCTCCTCTCAGCTGAACAGAGAGGCAGACAGCTGTGCACAGAAGCGAGTGGGCTCTACATTTCTCCTGTAGGTGGGGAGGGGACACCAGACCTCTGTACGGGCAAAGGGGAAGCTGCAAAGCTGTGGGATGATCCTCTGCTGATACATTCTCCCTCAGCCAATCACCTTCCTAGTGCAAGCGCCTGCCAACCACAACTCCCCCATCCTTCCCCAGCCTGACCCCTTCCTGTTCCCCAAGCCCTCTTGCAACTGCCTGGACCAGCCCTACTCTGACACCAAGCCGCTCACATCCTAAATTCTTCCCACGCCCAACCATGAAAACCTCGGCACAGGTTCCAATTCAGTGCCCCACGCCCACAGAAACTTTAGTGCCCCCTGGGGAAGCAATCCCCGGCCTCCTCCATTTGGAGCCTTCCTTGATCTGAGAAAGCCATACAGGACTCACTTAGGAGCTCATGCAAGCCTATATTTTTTTCTGCAGAAACAGACACAGGAATTGAACAGGCAAATTCGCCATCTCATATGGCACTGCAATGCCACAGAGCAGCCCAGCCCATCATCAGACTGCCTTCTGATGACGTGGATAATTGAGACACTTGACATCTGTCCTAAAAACGCAGGCAAGGTTAACATTTACAGAGTTGTCACTACAAACCAGAAGACAACCAGGTAATAGAGACAGAACAGATTTTCTATAAAACGTAATTAACACAAGTATCTATTCATTCAAATAATTTAAAAACAAAAGGGAACATTCTGATCATCTAATCTGACTTCCTGCATAACACAGACGATGGAATTACACCCACCATCGAGGCCACGCCGTGTGGTTGAGCTAGAACTTACATTTTAGAAAGACATCCAATCTTGATTTTAAAACATTGGTGGAGACCCCACCACCCCAAACTATCTGCTCCAATGGTTAATTACTCTTGTTGTTGTACATTTGTACCTGATTCCTAGCCTGAATGTACTTAGCTTAGGCTTCCAGCAACAACTGGATCTTGTTACGCCTATGTCTGCTAGACTGAAGAGCCTTCTACTATCTGAAAACATCTCCGAGTGTAGGGACTTATACACCATGATCAAGTCACCTCTTCATCTTCTCTTGGATAAGATAAATAGATTGAGCTCCTTAAAGATGTTCTCCTTGGGTATGTCTAGACTACATGGCTCCGTCGACGGAGCCACGTAGACTAATTTACCCGGCATAGTCAATGAAGCGGGGATTTAAATAATCCCCTCTTCATTAAAATAAACATGGCCGCCACTCTGTGCCGACCATCAGCTGATCCAGCACAGCGCGGCAGTCGAGATGTGGATCTGTCAGCTGGGGAAACCTTTGCCGACCATCCCTTATGCCTTGTGAAATGAGGCTTACAGGATCGGTCAGCAAAGGCTTCCCCAGCCAACAGATCCACATCTAGACTGCCGCGCTGTGCCGGATCAGCTGATCGTCGGCACAGAGTGGCGGCCATGTTTATTTTAATGAAGTGGGGATTATTTAAATCCCTGCTTCATTGACTATGCTGGGTAAACCAGTTTACATGGCTCCATCGATGGAGCCATGTAGTCTAGACATACCCCTTATGTCTTAGACTTAGAACATCTAGTTTTAACATATGGGAATAGAATTGAGTCAAAAATTCTGCAGATCTGGGGCAAAATCTCCAATGAACCACATATAGTTTGGGGGGAAACTGCAGATTTTGCCAAAATTCCTTATAGATTCCTCGGTCAACCACTAAATCACCAAGGCATTAAAGAGGTCAGCTGTGGAGCAGCTTCAATGGCACTGGGACATCACTGCATTACTCCAGCATTACGTTGGCATCAATCCATTGAAATCACTGGTGTTCTGGTGAATCAGGCATCTTGGCTACATAACCTACCTTCCAGAATTGGATTGGCCTCCAGAACTTGCTGTTCAATCCAGGAATGCTGGCCACTGATAGCAGCTAAAAACTGCAGTATCAGCTTAGTGCTTTCAGTCTTCCCGGATCCCGATTCTCCACTGGAATCAAAAACATATATGTGATAAATCAGTGTCTCCGTTTCTTTTTCTCTGACACAATGGAAAAAGGCAGATCAAGGGAAGACTTCACAGATCTCCATCCTATGGGACTGCCCTGAGTCTCGCATAGGAAATAAGAGTATGTCTACACTACCCCGCTAGTGCGAACTAGCAGGGTAATGTAGGCATACCGCACTTGCAAATGAAGCCCGGGAAATTCAAATCCTGGGCTTCATTTGCAAGTGCCGTATGCCTACATTACCCTCCTAGTTCGAACTAGGAGGGTAATGTAGGCATACCGCACTTGCAAATGAAGCCCGGGAAATTCAAATCCTGGGCTTCATTTGCAAGTGCCGTATGCCTACATTACCCTCCTAGTTCGAACTAGGAGGGTAATGTAGGCATACCGCACTTGCAAATGAAGCCCGGGAAATTCAAATCCTGGGCTTCATTTGCAAGTGCCGTATGCCTACATTACCCTCCTAGTTCGAACTAGGAGGGTAGTGTAGACATACCCTAAGAGACTTACTGTTTACTGTCTCATTTACATCTTCGTATGAAAATATTAAGGGCAAAATTGTTCCATCAGTTACGTAAGCGCAAATCCACTGAGGCTAGTGGGTTGGCCCCAGGGTGAAGGAGAAGAAAATTTGGCATTTATATTATCTGTGCTGGATTTAGTATGTTAACTTATAGTTCCCTTTAGCTCCTCTGTTAACAAGAGAGGTCATTGCATTGAGATTATCCAGACCCTTGCACAAACATGACTGGAGAACAAGTACAGACCCCACCTTTGTAAGATAAAGAAAACATTTCTCTTGCCATGTTTTAGAAGGGGAAATTAACCTTCTCAGAGACAATCTCTGCTTATAGAAAGTTAAATTTAATCTTAAAACATAAATGGCTCCCTTCCAAAGGGTTCTCTGGCATGGAAAATGTACTTGGGCTTCCCATTCTCCATCTATTCTATACTATCTGTGTAGAATGCCCTGAGGCGTGGGGCACGTGATGAGGTCTGGAAATATACACATGTGCATGGGAACCATCTCTTGACCCGTTTTTCTTGCTAAATATTTCCAGGAAGAGCTTCAACTACAGAAACCACTTCACAAACACACAAGGGGACAGTTCTCGGCCCTGCCTCTGAAGCTGTGCATGAAAATATTGTGTATACACCCATATGTGCCAACACAGCTGACTTACTTGGACAGACAATGGATACACAAGGGCACATTCAAGACTGAATATTTCTGAGTCCTCACTGAAAATGACACAGCAAAAATGTTCCTTTTTCATTTTCCCCAGGCCTCCCCATGGGACTAAAGAGATTGTCACTTCCCTAAGCACTTTGGGAACCCTGTTCTGGTTCAATCCTGTGGTAAGTCCACCACCATGAGTCCCTCCCACTGAGCCAGATACCTGATAACACAACACTGATCTCTTTTATTCCGCTTCATGTTGAAATAACAGTTGTCTGCGATGGCAAAGACATGGGGAGGCAGCTCCCCAATTCGCTTGTTACTGTAGAGTTGGATCTGTTCCACTGTGTAGAGTGGCAACACCTGGTACGGATTCACTGCGACCAAGATAGAGCCTGTGTAGGTCTGAAAAAGGTGAGAGTGACCCGTAACATCAAGTCCAGACATAGCAGAAGACCACAGTCACTCTGGGCTCTGCTCTCGTCAGAGCTTTGGGGGGGATAAGGAACGTTTAGGGAAACCCCTGGGTGTTGCAGAAAGTTGTGTTGGTGACTCAGTAGATTGGGGTGGGCAAGAGGCTGCCAGTGGGCCAGATCTGGCCCCCTAAGCCACTGGATCCAGCCTGCAGGCTCCTCGCTGGAACCCTTAGGCAGAGAACAGCTCACATTTTAAAAACCCAGCTGTTCTCTATTTCAGAGGGCTGGGGAGGGAGGAGGGAGACTTCTCATGCTATTCCCACCCCAAAGCAAAATCTCTTAGTCCCCATTAGCCAATCTCTCTGTTTCCGGCCAATAGGAGCTGACAATTTTTGCTGGAAGTAGGGACAGTGTAGGAAGCCTTCTTCCTCCTCCTCCCCCTCCCTCTCATGCCCAGAGTGGAGCCACATGGAGCAGCCTGCAGCAGTCAGTCTGCCTCAGGTTTCTGCTGGTAAGACCTCCCAGCCAGAGCCTGCCTCTGGCACCCTAGCACCTCCCTTCCCCAGCCCTCTGCCCCACCTCCACATACCCAAACCCTCTGATCCCTCCAGCACCATATACCCCTCCCAGATCTGCCATCCCAATCTCTTGCCCCAGATCACAATCCCCTCCTACACTAGGTCACATTCCAAAATCCTGCACCCCAGTTCCCTGCCCTAGATCACAACCGCCTACGTCATCCCAACTCCCTCCCATACCCCATTCTCCCTACTGCACCCCAATTCCTTCCCCCAAACTCCCTTCTGCACCCAACCTATACCCTGGAATTCCTCCATTAATATCCTGGATGAGTGCAGTCTTTGACCACTTTCCAAAATCTCGTAGTGGCTCCCATCAAAAATGATTGCCCACCCCTGCAGTAGATTGGACTCTTCCCTCTCAGTCAGGCTACATCTAGACTGTAAGCCTCTTTCGAAAGAGGCTTTTTCGAAAGATATTTTCGAAAAAGCCTCTTTTGAAAAAGAATGTCTAGACTACAATCAGTACTTTTGAAAAAGCAAACCGCTCTCTTTCGAAAAAGCAGTTTGCATTACATAGAGCCTTTTTTCAAAAGAGCACTTTCGAAAAAAGGTGTTATTACTTGTAAAATGAGGTTTTCCACAGTTGAAAAAAATGCCATGTTCTTTCAATTTACTTTCAAAAGAACACGGCAGCAGTCTAGACATGGGAAGTTTTTTCGAAAAAGGCCACTTTTTTTTTTTTAAGAAACCTGTAGTCTAGACACACCCTCAGTATCAAACTGAGAACTATGCTGCCAAACATAGCATCAGTCAGATGAGACAAAAAGCTGAACTTCTGATCAGTACTGGTCATTAAGGATCCCATTGGTGCTTTTTGCAAAAGAAGAGGTGATCGCCCAGCCAAATTCCAGCTCAGTTAATTACATTGTGGCTAAAATCTCCACTGGCTCAACTAGATACGGTATTTTTCACTTATCATCAATTGTTGTGCAGTGTTGCTGAGTGCTGTTAAACAGCAGTTGTATTCTACCCCAGATGTGGCTGCACTCGAGGGATAGGTAAAATAACTGGAGAGTATGTGTGTCTGTGTATGTGTGAGAGAGAGCATTTTACACACATGCCTCAGTTATTTTGCCTACCCTGAAATGTGTGTGTGTTATTTGGCAAAGTTTATAAAGTGATAGATGAGATCCATTTGGGTGAAAAGTATCAAAGGGATAGCCGTGTTAGTCTGAATCTGCAAAAGCGGCGAGGAGTCTTGTGGCACCTTATAGACTAACTGAAGTGTTGGAGCTTAAGCTTTCATGAGCAAAGACCCACTTCGTCAGATGCATGTAGTGGCCTGTGAAAATGAGGGATCATTGTCCAGGATGGGTTGTAGATCACTAATGATGCGTTGGAGAGGTTTTAGCTGAGGACTGTAGGTGATGGCCAGTGGTGTTCTGTTGGTTTCTTTCTTGGGCTTGTCCCGTAGCAGGAGGCTTCTGGGTACACGTCTGGCTCTGTCAATCTGTCTCCTCACTTCCTCGTGTGGGTATCGCAGTTTACAGAATGCTTGTTGAAGGTCTTGTAGGTGTAGGTCGCTGTCTGAGGGGTTGGAGCATATGCGGTTGTACCTCAGTGCTTGGCTGTAAACAATGGATCGTGTGGTGTGTCCGGGATGGAAGCTGGAGGCATGCATGTAAGCCCAAGAAAGAAACCAACAGAATACCACTGGCCATCACCTACAGTCCTCAGCTAAAACCTCTCCAACGCATCATTAGTGATCTACAACCCATCCCTTGTTATGTCTGCAGGTGAATAATTGAAATTAGCATAGTAGAGTGTATGGTGAATTCCTAATGGCAAGCTGTAACATTGTCCTGATAACTGTCTTAATGTCTGGCCTGACAGAGAGTCACCATTGGTAACATTCACTTTAGGCAAAAATCTAAAAGGCAGCTTTCTTGCTGTGCATGCATCTCCCTGTTGAGTCACTCAAGGTGCGTCTACACAGCATCCTAAACTTGAAATAAGCTATGCAATTTGCACTACACAAATTGTGTCTCTTATTTTGAAGTGATTTCAAAATAGCTTATTTTGAAATTTGGCGCATCTACACAGCGCCATATTTTGAAATAATGTGCTATTGAGAGGTTTGCGGGAATGGAGAAATAGCGTGCTCATTATTTCTAAATATATATCGAAATAACGGGAGGCTTGTGTAGATGCAGGGTAGCTATTTTGGAATATCTCCGGTTTCCTGAAATAGCCATGCAGTGTGTAGGGGTATCCTCAGAGATTTCAAAGTCTGAGGTTAGCTCTTGTCCCAGAAGACAAGGTGCTAGGATGTGCTCAGTTCTGAGAGAGGAAAAGGGAGAATTTCAGAAACACTGATACACTACATCTCTCATGGACAATCTAGTGAAGGAAACCAAGCTGCCACGCGTCAGAGGCTGCTCCTGGGCTGGCAGGTTAGCCCCCTGACAGAAGTGTGCTGTTTTTCCTTTCCTATTCTTGACTGAGATTTGCCTGTTCCCTAGGCACTCACATAGATTTTGTGTTCCTGGTGGCGGATGAGGAGGTTGCGGACTATGCCTGCTTCATTCAGGTCCCCGAGGCGTATCATGTCTTCCACTCCTTGCGCAGAGGTGGGATGCATTGGGCGCACAGCGCTGATGTTCCGCGCAGTGATCCAGTGTTCCTTAAATAGAAGAACACAACAGCTTTTGGAAGTTTGTGTACTAGCTCAGGGGCATCCAAATGAGGATTATTGCCATAGAGGGAACCCAAGTGTAACTCACAGCAGTACAGCGTGGGATTAACTGGCATAACACAAAGCAGATTGCAGCAGCTTTATGTGTAATACACAACTGCAGCCCACCAAAACTAAGACCTATCATGCAATGCTTGAATCAAGCTAAGACATTACAAGTGAGGAATACAGTCAGGATCCTGTGGCAAGCTGGACTTAGGTGAGCCAGCCCTGGATTCTGTTTTGCTCCAGGGGAGTTTCTGGGATAGCTTCACTTTAAATTTAAACTATGGAAGTTTTAAATTGAAATATAAATGGAATAAAACAATCAGTTCAGTAGCCCATTTCTTGATATTAAATTCAGTTAAGGTATGTCTGCCCAGCAACATTATTTCAAAATAACTTAGTCTGTGTCTACACAGCAGGCAGCTATTTTGAAATAATGTTGAAATACTGTCAAGCTGGAGGACTTCTTACTCTGACTCCTGTAACCCTCACTGTACGAGGAGTAAGGGAAGTCAAAGGAAGAGTACTCTGTTTTGAAATAAGTGTTGTGTAGGTGCGCCCAATTTTGAAATAAACTATGCAATTGACATAGCTCAATTTGCGTAGCTTATTTCGAGTTAAGCCCTGCAGTGTAGATGCACTTAGTGATTTTACACTGGCTCCACATTTTCAGTTTTCAGTATGCTGGTGTGTATATGTATTCACAAAGTTTAATGACAGTACAGAAACTGTCCAGGGAAAGGTTGAGATTTGGAAGCTTGGATGAAAACAGATGTTTTCGAATAACAGGAAGGGGTAGGAATAAGCTTGGGATTGTGGTATAAGCCCAGGTGTTGGAAATTTCTGAGTTTTAAGAAAAGATCAGCAGTAAAACTGTTAATAGTTTAAGATTTAAAGTGTCATCTTTATGTTTCAGAGTCAATAATCCCTTGAGATGAATGGAGCCATTCCCACCTCCGAGACCTGTCCTTTCAAGCCAGCTGCAGGTACAGAGAGACAACATTGCATCTATTTATGCTCAGTTCTCATTCTCACTGTTATCTGCACAAGCAGGCAGTCTAAAAATGGAATGAGAACTCAGATGCTGGAGCACAATTCTGCAGCAAGAAAGGGACAAGGACAAATTCAGCTGCTGTAGAATATGTGAAGACTGTGGCCTCATAGAAATGCAGGCTTGGAGACAGAACCAGCCCACTGGCCAATCAAGTCCTGTGTCTTGCCTTTGGTAAGTACTACAGCATGATTCTTGCAGTTATGTAATTCTCTGATGGGCTACACATGAGACTGGTTCTGAATCATGACAGCCAGATCAGATTCTGAACTCCACTCCATTTAGAAGTTGTTTTGGTAACCAGAATTTTGACTTGGCCCTTTATAGTGGGAAATGAGTGTCTTTTTCCAAGTGTAGCATCTAAGGGTGAAATCCTGACCCAGTTGAGTTAAATGGGGTCTGGATTCCTAGAACTCCATAAAGATCAGGAACATTTAGATCTGTGGTTTGGCTCAGGCCCATCTCTTGTTCTTCACCATGTAACATAAAATTTCAAGTATGTTCTTGTAAGGAAGTTATAATGTAGCCTACCTTGCCTTCATCATCTTCCACCAAAATCTGTCCTGAGTCAGAGATCTTCACAACTGCCCCAATGGGGACACTGAATTCACTATTGGAAAAGGATTCTAGCCACACATGATCACCCTGGAGAGAAGGAAGTGCTGTTGTTAAGTACTGCTTTATACCTGGGCTCCAGCTACATCTTAACCACATGCCTCCTGGTTTTAATATCTGTGGGGTCTCTTTTACTGTGCTTAGCTGGATCAGTGCCTATTGCCCATAGGCAGCATTATCTAGTGGTTAAAGCAGATTAGGGAATCAGGCTCCCTGGGTTCTAATCCCAGCTCTGCTTCTGACCTGCCATGTGAGTTTGGACAAGTCATTTAGAATAGCCATTTTAAAGGTGGAAATGGCACAGAAGTTCTAACAATGACTCTGCTTACTTACCTACACTATGTCACAGAAATGTTGTGAGACACAGTAGCTGTTGGCAAAGTGCTCAGAGATCCTCAAATGAGATACAGTTTTTACAGGCCATTATTATTATTTCTGCTATTTAACAACACTGAAAGATAAAGCAGTCCTGGAAAAGTGGGGGAGGGCATCTTCAGACAAGACAACAGTGCAGGTCTGACTAGATACCCTGGCAATTTGCAGAAATTTATCCTAGTAAATTTGGATTGTACATTCCCCCAAGGATCGGTTGAATAATCTGTACAAGGAAACATGAGCAACTTTGTCAGCTCCTTCCCTGGGAACAAATCCTACACTCCTGCTTCAGGAAAAACTCCTTCCTTGGCATCAGTGGAGGAGGAGCACTGCACCAGGGCAGCACCAGTCAGTATTCTGCCTACAGAGCCAACAGGCAGGCAGAATGTCTGTGGAGCCACAGGGGGGAAGCGAACTTCGAGGCTTCCTTTACAGGGTTACAGCTAATGCCCCAGACAGCACTGGCTGCCAGTTGCCAGACATGACTGACCCATTTTGTAGTTTGCCCCCTTTGGAGTATCTTGCATTGCTGATGTGCTAACACTATCCCACTCCTTGCATTTTTGTAGTTTGTCCCCTTTGGAGTATCTTGCATTGCTGGTGTGCTAACACTATCCCACTCCTTGCATGCATAGACCAATATCATGGTAGCCCCTTGTAGATCCTTTACACTTCCCCCTCCATTATCCCCTGCACTCACACAGGGTCAGCCACATTTGGCATGAACAATTGTATTTCAATGGTCAGAACTTGGCTACAAGAAGAATAAAGATTATGGGCCAGATTTTCCACTAGGGTAAAGCATAGATCCATCCACTTCAATGCACCTGCAGTGGTAGAGGATCTGGCTTTGTTGCCTATTATTCCAATTCTGTACTATAACAGTCACGTCCACAGAGTGCCTGACTGTTTAATTTAAACCATGTTGGTTTTTTCCCCTCTTAAAATATTTTATTGGCTTACATTCAAAGACAAACAGTTGTAAAGTGCTACTGCAATAAATGCTGCACTAGCCAATGGAAACTACCACCTGCAAACAGAATCCTTACTTGCAGCAAAGGGAACCTTAACACTCCAAGGAGCCGTACTGGTTTCAGTGGAACTGCTTGTGGTGTAAGGCACCAACTCGGCATGAGTTGGTCCAGAATAACCATGACACCCAGTAAACTGACCCCGCTGTTCTCTCTGTAATTTTGTTTGGGAGAGTTCGGTTGATGCCTCATTGATATTTGCTCTCTGGTTGCTTTTACTTGTGAGGTGAATTGTATTAAATTCCCATGGACTTCTTTTCATCTCTCTCAGCAGCATCCTCCCTAGACTATGTACACCAGAGCAGAGACTTACCTTTCTGAGCACCACCATCCTGCCTCACAGTCCCACATGCAGCCTGTGTTCACAAAGAGAAGAACCCGGAGTCAGACGACAGGAGGGCTCAGGGGTAAGAGCAGATCAATACACTGCCAAAGATGGCACGGTCAGAACTCTGTTTTAAAAAACAAAAACATACTAAGATTCTGCATATTGGATTAAAGAAAGGAAACGTGATCATCAAAAATACCTGCAAAATGTGGGAACAATATAAACCATTTATCTGAAGGCAAGAATCTACAACATAGTGCAATGCACAGATTGAATTGCAGGCTACCACATAACTCAAGAGGTGGGCTAGCACAGCCGAATATCACTGCCGAATGTGTTTTTTTAAGGAATGCTCAAGCTAATGCCAAGAAAGTTTATTGGCAGAGACTCAAGCTTAAAGTTAACCCCAATAATAAGATATCACTCATACAATATTGTTATTTGCCTTCCGTTGGTCCAATGACCCAGTGGCTCAGTTCCTGTGAGTGGTCAGCCAAGTGACCCAGATTTATTTTCTACTTTGCTAAGCTGCCGAATGCAGTCCGCCCACTAGGGCTGGTGCAACACCCATATAGAAACAGAGATCCACATATAACCTTCCTCAGCTGTGGCTGCAACAAAGGGCTTTGAGAAGGATTGTGGAGGTGGGAAAATGAAGAGTGTTTTAGGGTTCCAGTTGCAAAGCAGGGGGAGAATCCCCCCAGAAACAAAGAAAAGTACTGAGCCCACTGTTGTTGCTGACACACGTCCAAAGGGCCGTCTGATTTGTTGAATGTGCAGCCCCTACTGAATCTGCACCTTTTGTTGTAACAAAAACAATTATATTTTGTTGGCCATGAAACCCAGGACAACAACAACAACCCTTCCCCCCCAAAAAACCCGCAGACTACATGTGTATATCCCTGTTCCTGTAACTGGACTCTTGCATCAATTTCAGGGATAATCATGATCTGATGGTTGCCTCGCTTGCCATATACTCAGTGACCTTCTGATGTGCAAGGGGAAATCATAGGCAAAGATTTTCATGAACAGTATGAGCTGGGACTGAGAGCGGGTTTGAAGTTTTTCAGAGTTTGAGCATTTTTGTTTGGAACCATCTCTAAAAAATACATCCCATATCTCATTTTAATATGATCTGGGTTCTCTAAGGTCATTCACAAGATCTTTGGGCTGACTTGCACGACTAAATAGATCCATTTAACAGATGAGCTGAAAGGCTTTTTAACTTCTTAGGCCCAAGATCAGCTTTTCGTGTTATCTCTTGAAACAATTGATGGAGGAACTACAACATAATGCATCACAGACTTTCCATTCCTTACATAACATCAGAAATGAGGAACATGGGTAGAGTTAGATCCCAAACCTCAATTACACAAATAAAAAAATATAGTGAACATCACTGAGAGTTGTTTGGGGGACAGATTATCTGGTCTGTGAAGATGATTCAGCAAAGAAAAGAGAGGGAGCAGCCAGGGGCCAGTGGAGGCAGTTACGTATGCAAAGTCAGTGATGGCATCTCTTATAACATTTGGGCTGTGTCTACATTGGCACCCTTTTCCGGAAAAGAGATGCTAATGAGACACTTCGGAATTGCAAATGCCGCGGGGATTTAAATTTTCCCCACGGTATTTGCATGAACATGGCCTCCGCTTTTTTCCGGCTTGGGACTTTGCCAGAAAAAAGCGCCAGTCTAGACAGGGATCTTTCGGAAAATAGCCCTTTTCCGGAAGATCCCTTATTCCTCCTCAGGCTTTATTTTCCGAAAGATCCGTGTCTAGACTGGCGCTTTTTTCCGGCAAAGCCCCGAGCCGGAAAAAAGTGGCAGCCATGTTCATGCAAATGCCATGGGGAAAATTTAAATCCCCACGGCATTTGCAATTCTGAAGTGTCTCATTAGCATCCCTTTTCCAGAAAAGTGTTGCCAATATAGACACAGCCTTGCAGTTCCACAGTTTAGAAAGAAATCACTGGAAACTCAGAGAGCTTGAGCAGTTGCAAGTGTCCATTTATTCCATAACACAGAACTAACTAGAACAAGCCCAAACTGGCTGGGCTGACCCCTAGTGACCTAATTCAGTTACTATAACAACAAGATCTATATCTACAACCCCAACACACAACAGCATCCATCACTTGATCATGGGTGGTTATTATTAGTCACTCATCATGTACTAAACAGCGTGAGTCAAAGAGCAAAGTCCCTGCCAGGTGACGCTCAGTATATCTGAGGAGACCATCTTGTCTTGGTCTAAGCTTAATAATAGTTTTCTTCTGCATAATCTCCCCCTGCTCACCATGACCGGTCTCAAGCCCACTGGAACAGTGGGGCAAGATCTATAAGCAGACATCCAAATTGGAAGTGCCTAGAAGGCTGCATTTTTGTTGGCCTGTCCTCTTAGCAGGATCTACCCCTGAGTACAGCTAATGAGTGGACTCATCATAGCAGATACAGCTTGTTACCCCTGGCAGAATAGAAAGGGAGAGAATTTTGGTCAGAGGGAGGTAGGGGAAATGACAGGGAAGCCCGAGGAACTGGCAGGCTGGGGTTGAGGTGGATATTTTGCTTTCACTAGTCAAGTTACTAGTGAAGCTAAACTTCACGAAGGTGACACTTGGTCCAGTATGTCTGGTCTTTATCTGCAGCAGAGCGGGAATGCCACATGCAGCCATTCAATCCTCAGGCCATCATATCCCCAGCTCTGTGTTGCCCAGTCTCCCAAGTAGACTTTGAAGGGACTCACTGCTTTAGGGAAAGGCTCAAATTCAGATGGACCTCACTGGAGTGGGGCTCTGGTAAATCATTTCAAATCTAACCAAGCCCTGTGGGGGAGCTCCAGGAAATAATCTCTGACAATTTAAGTCTTGGCTACAAAGATCCTCCAGAGGAGGCTAAAAGTGCCACTGGAACCCTCTCTAGCCCCTAACAGTATCTACCAAACCCCAAGCGCATTCTCTTGGGTCTCTGACCAGAGTGTGGCTGGGTGAAAACCCAAACTCTCACTCCTCCCTTCCAATCTGCCCACAGGAGCTCCCTACCCTGGTGGTGCCTCTTTCTGTTTGTTCCAGGACACCCTTAGGAAGAAGATGTTTTGTGTCAGTGTTTATTACACTAATTAAATAGTTGCAGTCATTTGAAAACATCTGAATCTAGAACCAAAATACTATATTCCATTTTTGCTGCTATTTATGATGGATTATTGAAAAAAGCTCTCTCAGCTGAGTGGGGTTGTTTACCCCCACCATCCACCCCACAGGGTTAATGGGGGCCTGAGAGGCCAATGAACACACCGGATTGCACCATCAGCAGGGGATACAGAGAGGAAAAAGCTGCTACGAGAGGACATCCTAGTCTTTTCTACATCCCAAAAAGATTTGTAACTTTCTGCTTGGCTAGTGCTCAGTCAGGAAATACAGCATCATTTGCTTTCAGGTAAATAATGATTTGATGGCCCACCTCAAGTAAATTATTAACAGAATAAGTAAACAGCACTGGACCAGAAATTGATCTTTGGAGCTTACCCCAAACTACTCCAGAACTTCCCACCTGTAGCATCCTCAACTGAAATAATAGAAAACACATTTGTCTGGTTGTACATGCTATAGTTAAGGTTATGTTCACACTTCAATTAAAACTTCACTTCCTCGGTGCCATTTGCTCTTTGGCTCACCTTTTCATGCTTGACCTTAGCTCCCTAAAACGTATCTTTCTAGAAAGTTTATGCAAAAATGAACCATGTGGGAAGTTTCAGAGGGGTAGCTGTGTTAGTCTGTAACTTTAAATACGACGAGTAGTCCTGTGGCACCTTAAGATCAGTTTTGCAGTTTTCCAACCATGCTGGAAATCACTAAGGACCAGGATCTGATCATTCTATATTTGCTGAATGATGTCGTATTCCAGGGGTAAGCAACGTGAAATTATGGAGTAAGGTGCTACATTGTAGAGTAAATAAA